ATAATACTCATCGATGTGACAGTGGTGTTACATCATGTTACTCCTTGCGGTGTCACGTCGCAGACATGAAGTTCTCGCACCATCTGTCATATTTTCCCATGTCACACCTGTTGCTGCCGCTGTGACACTGAATTTATGCATTACATGTTTGTGTGTGTGGTGTGTGTTGGTGTGCGTGTGCGTGTGCGTGTGGCGTGTGTGTTGTGTGTGTGTGTGTGTGTGTGTGTGTGTGTGTGTGTGTGTGTGTGTGTGTGTGTGTGTGTGTGTGTGTGGTGTTGTGTGTGTTGTGTGTGCTGTGGCCTGTGCGTGTGCCTGTGCGTGTGTGTGTGTGTGTGTGTGTGCGTATGTGTTTTTTTTGTGCGTGTGCGCGTGTGTCTGTGTGGTGACGCAGAAGAGAAAAAGAGAAGCAAGACTGTGGTTTGCCAAGGGGAAAATACACCACGAAGAAGTGCCTTGACTGGAAAATAATACCCAGACTTTTTTCCCTTCTTTTTAGACCTAAAACAGGATTAATGTCGAAAGCGCAATTATAGAAAGCCAGGGCAATAATTTTGGACACACACACACACACACATATGTATATATGCGTGTAAATATGTATATATATTATGTATATGTACATACATTTGTATATACATGTACATATAATCATATATATACACATATACATGGAAGAAAAACCCACAATGCACAAACTAGACTTATTGAGAAAAGTGAGACAACAGTTTCGGGATCGTACATATACATGTATATGTACACAAATAGTGTTTTCTTGTTCTTCCCTTCGTTGTTCCTTTTGTTCAGGAACGACGGTGTGACAGGAGCGAGCGCCAGTACTCTGCTATGGTGTTCTCATCCCATCTTGTCCCAGCTGTCCTTTGTTAGTCTGTGGTGAGCGTTGAAGTGTCATTCGAGTGGACCTTAATTTGCGTGTGCGTGTGTGTGTCTGTCTGTGTGTGTGTCTGTGTGTCTATGTGTGTGTCTGTGGCTGTGTGTCTATTTGTGTGTGTGTGTCTGTGGCTGTGTGTCTATTTGTGTGTGTGTGTGTCTGTGGCTGTGTGTCTATTTGTGTGCTGTGTGTGTGGCTGTGTGTCTATTTTGTGTGTGTCTGTGGCTGTGTGTCTATTTGTGTGTGTGTGTGTGTGTGTGTGTGTGTGTGTCTATTTGTGTGTGTGTGTCTGTGGCTTGTGTGTCGGGTTGGAAGTGAGCAAAGTGGTAAGTGTTGAAGGAAAGAAGGGGGGAGGGGAGGGAGTCTCTAAGGCCAAGGGGTGGGGGTGAGGGGGTGAGGGGGGGAGGGTTTAGAAGGTCAGTATTATTCGGTACTGTCACTGCCAGGTCTCAGGAATCTGCTTGACCCTCACAGCTCGTGAAGTAAGCGAGGGTCGTATGCAGGCCGAGTGAAGGAGAAAGAGGGAAGAAAGCAAGAAAAGAGAAAGAGACAAAAAGGGAAGAAAGAAAGAAAAGAGAATAAGGCAAAGCGGGAAGAAAGTTTAAAAAAAAAGAGAACGAAAGTGAAGAGAGAAAGGTATAAAAGGAAGAACCAACAACGGAAGAGAGAAAGCAAAAGAAGAAAGAAAGAAAACAAAAGAAACAAAGGAAGAAAGGATGGCACTGTGTCACACGGTGCCAGTGAGACCAGCGCTGTGACAGACACCCAAGCCAGAGCGCCGTCACACAGCACAATGCCGGGGCGCGGTCGGTGGCACGTCAGCTGTGAGGGGGAAAGAGAGAGAACAGGCAGGTGAACGAGGCAGGCCGTGGCACCGGGGAGGGAGAAAGAGTGCCACAGAGGTCGCGAGGAGGAGCTGACGGTGCCACTAGCTTACCATGAGAAAGCGAACGGATCGCGGCCTTGACTTTTCAATACGAGCTTGTTTTTCTCTCTCTTCTTCCGGGACCTTTGTCGTAGCGGAATCGAAAGCGCGGGTGTAGCGGGCTCACACTTTCTCGTGACTGATGCTGAAATTAGGGGTCGAAATGACAATGGCAGAAAGGGCTGAAGACGTTTTTATTACGGCCATTCATTGCTACTGTTATACGTGATTTTTTAACACTATTTCTACGTTATGTTAGTTAGTTATGAAAATTATGTCAGATATAATGATACTGATGATGATGCTAATATTGATGATAATTATGATAATATTGATAATTAGGATCAAAGGTAACACTAATCATAAGAAAAATATGATGATGAAATTGTCATTGTAATTAAAAGTTGATAAGAATGGTACTGGCAAGGCGAACAGTAACAGTCAAGACAGAACAAGAACAAAACACAACAATAGCGGCAAGGATAATGATGATGATGGTATCAATGGCGATAATAATAACAGTAGCAATTGTGATAATCACGATATAAAAAATTACAACGAAAAGTGCTAAAAATGACAACTTTAATCACAATGATAATTGCGATAAGGGTAATTATAAAGAAATTATCATGGTTGTCACAGTGATGATAATGATAACGACAACGATGATTATCGATAAAAATAAAAATTATAATAAGAATAATAAGATTAAGAATGACAAGTAATGATAAAGAATACTTAATAGATAACATTAGTGTAACGTTTAGATAATGACAATAGTAACAGATTAAGGCAATGGTAATTAATAATGAGTGTCATAAAAAGGATAATGATTGTCATAATGATAATGGTTATGGTTATGACAGTAATGATAACAATAATTATAAGAATAATGGTAATGATACTAGTAACAATGATGACAATGATAATAGTAATCATGAAGTAAAATAATAATGATGTAAGTAATCATAATGTCATGATGTCAAAATCATATCATTCAAAGATCAGCATATCGAAATTATCAGCAGAGTCAGCATTCGACCACAGTCATTTCAATTGCAACCAAATCCTCTTCCTTAGAAATAAGACCAGCCTGTTATGCAAGAACACAAGACAGCTGTTCTTATCCTTGAAGAAATCCGAGGAACGATGTGAAAGCGTAATTCTTGGTTGTTGTTGCAGCTGTTGTTGTTGTAGTTGATGTTGCTAAGGTTGTTGATGTTGTTGTCATTGTTGTCTATGTTTTATTTGTTGTTAAAGTTTTTCGTTGTCGTTGTTGTAGTTGTGGTTGTTGTCTTTGTTGTATTTGTTATTAAAGTCGTAGTTTTTCGTTGTATTTGTTATTAAAGTTGTTTTCGTTGTCGTTCTGTATTTGTTATTAAAGTCGTTGTTGTATTTGTTTTTAAAGTTGTTGTTGTAGTTGATGTTGTTAGGGTTGTTGTTGTTGTCATTGCTGTCGATGTTTTATTTGTTGTTGAAGTTTTTCGTTGCCGTTGTTATAGTTGTTGTTGTATTTGTTATTAAAGGTGTTTTTCGTTTGTTGCTGATTTGTTTATTAAATCGTTGTTGTATTTGTTAATAAAGTTGTTTTTCGTTGTCGTTGTTGTTATTTTTGTTGTTTTTCTTGTTTATTAGGTGGATTAGAGAGAAAGAATCGCCAAGCATTTGATTTCATTTTGGGATTTTTTTTCCTTTTAAGGCGATTTGTATTTATTGTGATTGTGATTATTATCTGTATTTTTATATTATATTGTTAATGGTGTTATTCATGCTTTGATATGTGTATATGTTTATACGTGTATTGGTTTATATATATATATATATATATATATATATATATATTATATATATATATATATTAATATATATATATGTGTGTGTGTGTGTGTGTGTGTGTGTGTGTGTGTGTGTGTGTGTGTGTGTGTGTGTGTGTGTGTGTGTGTGTGTGCGCTGTGTGGTAATGCATGCATGTGTAATGTATGTAGAAATGTCTGTATGTAAGCAGGTAAGAATATATGTTATATGTATGCATGTATGGGTATGTGTGCATGCGTATGTGTGCCCAACCGCATAAAATGTACACATGCTTCTGCAAAACAGTGCTCGATTATGTGCGTTCCCCGTGAACTGGAGTCCATTTGCTTGTTTGTCTTGCGCGGGGAGGGAAGGAGGGGGGAGGGGGGGGGGGGGAAGGAAGGGGAAGGGGGAGGGGGGATCGAATCGTGAGTTTCCGGCAAAAACAAGAGTTGTTCAGAAGACCTCTATGAGTCATTTTTATTGATCTTCTATTGACTTGGCTCTCCCCCCTCCCCCTCCCTCCCTTTTCCCTCCTTTTTAAATTGGTCTTTCCGTCTCTTTTTTTTTCTTTCTTTTTAATAAGATGAAGACCTTTCCTCTCCTTTCATTGGTGCCATCGTTTGATTAATATCTCTGAACTGAAATCTTTTCCGACTTCCATCTTTTTTTTCTTTCGCTTTTAACTGAAACCTTTTCTTATTTGACCCTTTTCGTCTTGCTTGACCTGTTTTTACCTTTTTCGCCTCTCGCTTTTAACTGAGACCTTATTTGACCTTTTTTTCCTCTCTGAACTGAAACATTTTCTAACTTGACCTTTCTTTCATCTCGCTCTTAATTGAAACCTTGTCTTATATGACATTTTTCCCTCTCGATTTAAATTGAAAAAATCCTTTCCTTTTTTTTTGCCTCTCGCCTTAATTGAAACATTATTTGACCTCTCTTTCCTCTCACTTTTAGCTAAAAAAATTTCTAACTTGACCTTTCTTTCCTCTCGCATTTAATTGATTTTATTTTCTTATTTGACCTTTGTCATTTCGCTTTTAACTGAAAACTTTTCTAACCATATTTTTTCCCCTCTCGCTTTCAATGGAAACTTCATACCTGATTTTTCCGTTCCGCTAATTTTTTTTACCTGAAGTCTCATTTAACCCACATCCCCTCCCCCTTTGTTTTTTCATTCTCTCTCCTCATTTTTTATCCGAAACCTTACCGGGGGACTTCATCTCCCTCACTCACTCCCCCCCTCCCCCCTTTGTTTTTTTTGTTTTTGTTTTTTCATTCTCTCTCCTCATTTTTTATCCGAAACCTCACTGGACTTCATCTCCCTCATCTTTCCTGTTACTTTTCTTTCCTCTATCTCACTCTCTCTCTCTCTCTCTCCCCTCACAG